TGGGACTTGTAAGTGGAAATAAATAAGCCCTTTCTTTCCCAAGTTGTTTTTTTTTTGGTTATTGTGTTTATTACAGCAACAGAAGGCTAACTCTTGTCATTTTCCACAGGCTGTCACTGTTTGGGTATACATAAGCACATTCAGGGCAAATAAGAAATGTGGTCTTTGTTTCTAAAAATGAATAGTAGTAGATATGAAATGACTTTAGAAAGTATAAGGCTTGCCAAAGTTTAGTAACAGATAGTGTTTTTTATTAAGAAAATTCCCTGGCAGTTTCTTTGTATCTGGTTATGCACAGCTAAGACATATCACTGAGTTTATGAATCATGAACTGTTTGATCAGCAAAAGAGAGGCATTTGAGGAGTGTAGTGTTTACTTACTGGTCGTAACTTCTTACATCTTTTGGTTACAATGTCCTGAGCTCGATTTGAAAGAATGTGTTCAGCATTTCCACACTTTTAAATCTAACTCTCCTATTTTAAAAATGAAATCTTGGGAGGGTGAGGCAGGAAGATCAGGAGATTAAGGCCAGCCTTGGGTACATAATGAGTTCAGGGCCAATCTGACTATATTAGACCCTGACCCCCCTAAAAAACCTCCCAATTTTTAAAAATTGAAATCTTTTGTGAAGTCAATTAAAAAAAAAAACTGGCCAAGGGAGGAGTTCATAGAACCTTCAACAATAATAGAAAAAAATGGATGTTAGGAAGGTTAAAATTCCAGGCCTGGAGAGATGGCTCAATAATTTAGAGCACTTGCTCTGACTGAGGACCCAAATTCAGTTCCCAACACCCACATCCAGCAGCTCATAACTGCCTGCATTTCCAGCTCCAGGTGATTGGATGCCCTCTTCTGGGCTTATACCCCCTACCCAGATGCACATAAATAAAAATAAAATAGAGCTTTAAAAAAATTCAAACAGCTTTACTTTTTAAAAAAGATATTTCTTAGCTATTTATGCCTTTCTCCTACTGTTAGGTAGTCCGTTGCTTTGTTGGGCTGCCTAAAAATTTCATCTCGTGGGAGGATGATATATTCACTTTGGATGCAAATGTGTGTTACTCAGTGGTCTTTTCAAAAAACCATTTTAGAGACCCCTATTTTCTGGAAATAAAATACCTACTGTAGAAGAAGGCTTTTGTGTTACCTGTCAAGACCGCCAGAGAATACTGACACTTAACGCAGGTGCCCCAGCCTTTAATATGTCAGAGAGTGCCAGAGGCAAGATGGCTGGTCAGCAAGGCTCGGCCAGGGGGTTGGGCTTACTTTCACCTTATTGGAAAGCTGTACTGTAGGAGTTGGAGGAGGGGAAGAGATATCTTTTCCCAAGGAAATAATGTTGAAAGATAGTGGGGTTTTTTTGTTTTGGTTTGATTTTTGTTTTGGTGTTTTTGAGGCAGAGTTTCCCTGTAGCCCCATCTGGCCTGGAACTCACTATGTAGACCAAGCTGGCCTCGAACTCACTAAGATCCGCCTGCCTCTGCCTCCCAAGTGCTGGGATTAAAGGCATGTGCCACTACACCTGTCCCAAAGGTAGTGTTTTATACTTAGTACTACATTAGTGATTGTCAAATTTATTTTGGATATAGAACTACTTTACACACACAAAAAATCTTAAGTACTATGATGTGTTTATGATTCTGTGGGCCATAGGTAATGACACTTAGCACAGTAAATATTGAAACTGAGAATTAAATGCTTACTTATTCATTTGAACTCACCATCAGAAGCCCATGATATGTTAGTATATTGACTTGTTTTATATAAAAATATATTTATAGAATTAAAAATTGGGGGTAATGATATGGTTCCACATGTTTGCAGATCTCTGATATTTTAATGAGGATAACAAGGTCCTCATTTGCATCTGTGACACTCGATTTGCAGTGTTGAAACGTATGAAGAAAATCTGACCTCAGATGATTGAGGACATTCTTTCGTGCCACTCTAGAACTTAACAAGTGTTGGTTTCTGGAGTTGGAGAGATGGCTCAGAGGCTGAGTGTGTCCCATTCTTGCAGAGATCCCCCCATTCAGTTCCCAGGACCCATGTCAGATGGCTCACAACCACCTGTACAGATCCAGGGGATCTGACACCCTCTTCCGGCCTCCTCAGCCACCTGCACTCATGTGCATATAACCCCACACAGACACAGATGCATGCACATAATCAAAAATAGAAATAAATCTTTAAAAAACAGAGAAAACTGGGTGTGGTGGCATATGCCTTTAGTCCCGGCACTCAGGAGGCAGAGGTAGAGGCAGGCAGATCTCTGTGAGTTGGAGGCTGACCTGGTCTACATAGGGAGTTCCAGGCCAGACAGTGATGAAAAAGAAAGAAAGAAAGAAAGAAAGAAAGAAAGAAAGAAAGAAAGAAAGAAAGAAAGAAAGAAAGAAAGAAAGAGAAAGGGAACTTGATGATTTTTTTGTTTTTTGTTTGTTTTTGAGACAGGATCTCCCCCAAACCCTGGCTGGCCTAGAAGGTGACCAAGCTGCCTCTGCCTCTAGGTGCTGGGATTAAAGGCATGTGCCACCACACCTGACTGTAAATGCTAGTTTCTTAAATATTAGTTGGACTGTGAACTAAGCCATTTCAATGCACTTTTCATTCTGTTATTAAAATTCTGTCTTCTGCTTATAATGGAGGCGTCCCATGTGTGATACTCCTAGCACAGTCTGGAGCACCTGCTAAGGCACCCACAGTGCCACCGACCTCTGCTGCTGTAACATCTGTGCAATTGTTAGCACAGAAGGTTCAGGGTGACCCTATCAAAAACATTATCTTGTACTTTGAATAATTCAGTTCCTCTTGTAACAGATCTTTCTTAATGCGTTGTACTGGTTACAAATGCCATCTAGGATTCACTATCAGTAAAGCAAAGTATCTTCAGGTGACCTATCAACCCACTCTACCTCTTATAGCCAGTGAAATATTTTACTTATCTGGGTTGCTGTGCCAGGAAGTGCTGTGATTTCTTTCCCTGACCTTGCATGGTGTAGGCACTCAGCAATGCTGACTGTCTACCCATTTCTCGGCTAATACCCCACTTCTCCGACCAGAGGAGCATGCAAGAGGCCTTGCTGCCTTCATGGTTTCTGGATTGAAAAGGTTGTCAACAATACTTGGCTTTTAAAGAGCTTATTATGGCTAGGCTTAAAAACATTTGATTTGTTTTTCTTTATACCATGAATGATTGGTTACAAAATGACACAACTGTACCATAAATATTTTGTGCAGTGTGTGTATGAGTACATTCTTGTGTGTGTGGTAGCACGTATACATTCATGTGTGTATGTGAGGCCAAAGTTGATAGTGGTGTCTTCCTATATTGATCTCTTTGGAGCAGGGCCTCATCTTGAACCCAGAGCTCATTGGTTTGGCAAGACTAGCTGTCCAGCAAGCCCCAGGGATCCTCTTGTCTGCCTCCCTAACACTAGGATTACAGGCACAGGCTGGGATTACAGGCATGCACTGCCACGCCAGACATTTTACATGTGGGAGCTGGGGATCCAAACTCAGGTCCTCATGATAGTGTGGCCAGCACTTTACCCACTGAGCTATCTCTGCAGCCCCAACAAATATTTTTATTTATTTTTTAAGATTTATTTATTTTTCTTTCATGTGTATGAGTATTTTGCCTACATGTATGTAAGTGCACCATGTGTGTGCACTACCTGAGGAGGCCAAAATAGGGTGTCAGGTCCCCTGGGACTGGAGTTATAGACAGTTGTGACCCATCATATGGATGCTGGGAACTGAATCTGGGTCCTCTGCAAGAGCAGCCAGTGCTCTTAAGTGCTGAGCCATCTTTTCAGTCCCTATTTATTTTTAAACAGAGCAAAAGTAGATTTATTAAGAAAAAGTGAGAACTAAGAGTGGGAGGGTCTCCAAGGGATGAATCAATATTTTTAAAAGCTGCATTTGCATGAGGTACAGTAAATTGTTGACTTCTGTAAAGCTGAAAGATGCCTTTCATCAAAATTCTTTTTTTAAATTTTTATTTTATGTGTATGGGTGTATTGCATGCATGTATGTAATTGTATGCACCTCATGCAATGCCAGGGAAGGCAGAAGAGGGTGTTGAATTCCCTGGAACTGGAGTTACAGGTGGTTGTTAACTGCCATATAGGTGCTAGGATTTGAACCTGGGTCTTCTCTAAGAACAGTCAGTGCTCTTAACCACTGAACCAGCTCTCTAGCCCCCAAAATTCTATTTCTTATATATAATGATACCCAGTTTCTCTTATATGTCAGTTTCAAGTTTTCAGTATTTTTAGATGTAGACAATAGAGTTGTAGGCTGATAATGTGTGTGTGTGTGTATGTATGTATTGAGATAGGTTTTGCAGATTTTAAAGCATTTGCATCTATTCACTGTGTTACATGTATACTTGTGCCACCACACACGTGTGGAGGTCAGAGGACAGCTTGCAGGACTCCACTCTCTCCTTCTACCATGTGAGGCCTCGGGGTCAAACTCAGGTTGTTAGGCTTGGAGGCAAGTGGCCTTTCACGCCAGCCCCAGGAATGCAGAGTTTGATGAGAAGACTTTGATAAGAACAGCTGCTCTAGGGTAGCGCTGCCCAGCCTCACCTGTGGAATAGCCTAGCTAGGCTGATTCAGGAGCATTCTCAGCTTCCAGGGCAACAGGGTACGCTCAGGAGTACATGAGCCTCTCGGATCCTTTCCAATCAGAATATCATATGCACCTCCTGTCAAGAGCCAGGCCTCTGTAAAACATGGAGTTCAATTGTGACAATTAGGATTAAATTTTCCATGAAACAAAGTGATTTTATTTTTATTTTTTATTTTTTGGTCTTTTTGAGACAGGGTCTCCCTGTAGTCCCATCGGGCCTGGAATTTGCTATGTTCACCAGACTGGCCTCAATCTCAGAGATCTGCCTGCCTCTGCCTTCTGAATACTGGGATTAAAGGTGTATATCACCACACCTGACTATACTTTTAATTGTATATTTAGTATTTAATTCTGTTCCTGGCAGGTTTATTTTAGGACAGTGGAACTTGTAGAAGAGCCCATAAAAGGGTCTCCTGGTCTGAGTTTCTACTTCAAAATTAATGGATTTCCTATATTTTTGAAAGGCTCCAACTGGATCCCAGCAGATTCATTTCAAGATAAAGTAACTTCTGACTTGTAAGTATTAGCTTTCTGTGTTGCTCTCCTCTTCCTCCTCTTTTTTTTATTCCATGCCATTAACCTTAGAGTTATTAGAGTTACTCACATTTATTTTCTTTAGTCCGATGGGAAGGAACTGAGAAGCAGTACAGAGCAAATTTCAGAGTGGACAGGATTTTTAAATTATAAGTGTACCTTTGAGCTACAGTTTTATAGCTAAGTGGTGTAAGATTGCTAAAGCCTTCCAAATGTTAGAAAACTATTACATGTTTTTTTCTGGAGGAAAAAAATAAAACATTGGCATTTGAGGTGGTCAGTCTCAGGAAAGAAAATCCAGCTCTTTTTTTTCCCAGTACCTTAAACTATTTTTTAAAAATAGTTTTAAGAGATAGGAGGCCATATTTATCTTTTCATGCTAAGATATTCTTTTACTTTTAAAAATACTTGAGTGTGTGATGTGTGTACGTGGCCACATTCACCTGTATGAATGCAAGCACATGCATGCCACACACCTGTGGAGGCCAGTCCTCACCTTCTTTGTTTTCAGATGGGGAGTCTGTTGTTCACCACCCCATACATCAAGGTAGCTAGCCTAAGCTCTGCTAGGATTTCTCCTGTCCCCACCTTCCATCTTGCCTTAGGAGCACAGGGGCTACAGGTGGGCACCCTAGTGCCCAGTGTTGTGTGGGTGCTGGGGATTTGAACCTAGGTCCTCATGCTTATGCAACATGTACTTTACCCACTGAGCCATCTCATCTCTTCTACTGAAGGAACTAAAAGTATCTTGACAGGAGGAGAAAATGGGAAAATTTAAGAGCATGTACAGTAGTGGGTGTGTGTATGAGTCTGGAGACCCCGGGGACATCATGAGGACAGAGTTCTAGTAATAACATTGTACTGCATAAAAGCAAAGAAAGATAACTGCAGGATGATGGCTCTGTTAGCTGTGGTAACCTTTTTCCTAATGACAAATATCCTATAACACCATGTTGTATACCTTAAACACACACAAGAAAATTGAAAACAAAAACATAGAAGTTCTATATCTGGAAAATAGCTAGAAATGTTTATTGAAGGTTTTGAGAACAGAACTTAAAAATTTATTTAAAATTTTATTATTTTTATTTTATGTGTATGAGTATATTGCCTGCATGTATGTGAGTGTATGTGAGTGCACCTGTGGGCGGAAGTCAGAAGAGGGCTTTGGATTCCCCTGAAACTGGAGTTAAGGACCATTTGTAGCCACCATGTGGGTGCTGGAATCAAACCCAGTCAGTGCTCTTAACCGCTGAGCCATCTCTCCAGCCCCAGAACTTACATTTTTAAAAACATTTATGTATTTATGTGTGTGTTTCTGCTGTATTTTTCTTCCTGTGTGCGTGTGTGTGCATATACGTGGTGGCCAGAGGTGGATGTCAGTGTCTTCATCTGTCACTCTCCATCTTACTGTTTGAGAACCGGGCTTTCACCTGGAGCTCACTGATTGGCTGGCATGGATGGCCAGTGAGTGACAGGGATCCTCCTGTCTCTGCCTCACCAGTGCTGGGTTTACAGGAAGGCACCACCACATGTTTTTCACATGGGTGTTTAGGATCCAAACTCAGTTCCCTCACACTTGTGTGTCAAGCACTTTACTGACAGCCATTTTCCCAGCCCTGCAGCACATTTTTCTATAGGACAAAATACAAAACGAAAAATAGTTTTAAAAGTAGTTTAATGTTGCTGATAACTTACATAGTAAAGATATCACCCAGAGTTTTTCAGTTTGTTTGCCTAATGTGGTAATAATTAGTATCTATATTATTTTACATTCTTTAGCATTGATTAGAACAAAATATCATTATTTTAAAGTAGATTTATTTTCCTTTTTAAAATGTATATTTTTATTGAGTCTTTGTGCATTTCATACAATAAATTTTAATCATATTTAGATCCCTCGTCCCCCCATCCGAATACCCCATAACTCCCTCCACAGGATTTCATGCAGTCTGTCATATATGTTAAGGTCTATCCGATCAATCTCATGCACTCAGATGACCCTTGGTGCAAGTTCATCCACTGGAGTCCAGTCAGCTTATCTAGTGTCACTGCCTTAAAGAAGATCAACTCTCTCACACCCAGCAGTAATCGGTTGCCATTAGTTCCTCGATTAAGGGTGGGACCTGATGCCCATTTCCCCAGCTCTATGCTGGGTTTTTGCCCGATAGAGTCAGCATGGGTCTTGTGCATGCTCTCACCATTGCTACAAGTTCATATGCACAAGTTCCTGGAGGTCCAAAAGCCTCTGTTTTCTTATGTTCGTGGACCAAACCTGACTTTTACAATCTCTCTTCCCCCTCTTCCGCAATGGTCCCTGAGCCATGGGTGGGTGAGGTTTAGTATAGAAGTCCTACCCAGGGAGGGGTACTCTGCAGTCTCTTGTTCTTTGCGCTTTGGCCAGTTGCGGTCATCTGTGTGCATCACTCATTGTTGCATGAAGAAGCTTCACTGGTGAGAGTTGAGGGATGCGTTAATATTCTCTCTACCCCCTGTTCTATTGTGTTCCACGAGCCTTAGGTATAGAGATTCCACCGTAGATGTGTCACTTAGGCTAGGCTGGGCATCTCTCAGACATGTATTCTCTGTGTGTGACTAGTTGTGGAACTTTGTAATTAAAGTGACTTTTTCTAACAGATTTGAAATATTTCTTAATATTCCAAAATTTCTGAGTTAGCATTTGTTTTTGCAATTCTGTCTACAGATTGCAGGTCCTTTTGCAGTCTGTGGTGGATGCTAACATGAATGTTCTCCGGGTGTGGGGAGGAGGCATTTATGAGCAGGATGAATTCTACGAACTCTGCGATGAACTGGGAATAATGGTGAGCACATTGCAGCACTTTCACATATTGACAAATGGCTGGTACCCAGCTTGATGTTGTGAGTTGATATTTTGTTCCTTAGTTCTTCTCTTGGAGCCAGAAATGACATTATACTGAGTATTTATTCATTTTGGCAAAAGAATTAATAAATAACCATAGCTTTTGCTAACAAATACCAGAATTATCTGATTATCTAAAATGGTAGATATTATACATTATATCTAATTATACATCTATCTACACCTCCATAATATTTCTTGTGGTATGGAGGTATACATAATAAAATACAATATTAAATAATTTAACTTAAGGACCTCTAAGTCTGGAGAGAAATAAAATTTTAAAAATTATCTAAAGAAAAGATGTGCTTAATGTTATGGAAGTACTTGAAACATATTTCACAATGGTGAGAATTAAGCAAAGGAAATACCACCATCCCTCAGTATCTGAAGAGACCTGCTTCCAGACCCTTTGGACACTCAGGTGCAAAGATACTCAATCCTGTTGCGTAAAGTAATGAGGTATTTGCACAAAACCTGCCCACATCTTTCCATGTGCTTTACACTATCACTAGACCACATACAGAACTTCATACAATGTGAATGTTGTATAAATAGTTGTGATACTTATTGTTAGGGACTTTGGGATGACAAAAAGTCTGTAGGTGTTCAGGATAGAGGTAATTTTTGTTTTTTTTCTGAATACTTTTGACCGATACTTGAATCTCTGGAAGCAAAATCCATGCATACAGAGGGTCAATTGTATTTTGTTTTAGTTCTGAAAACACAGGTGTCAGATACACAGAGCACCAGAGAAGAATAACTATTATAGCAGCAATAATGCTCATCATGGCGCTGATGACATCTACACTGTTCAGTCAGTGCCAGGCACTGTTCTAGGTGCTGCATGCTCTATTTTGCATTTAATTTAATTTCTCTCTGCCATCCAATGATATGGTTACTATTGTTTCTGTCCCCATATACAGAGAAGAAAGGTGACTCATGGAGAGGTTATATACATCACCTAACCTCTCACTGTCTGTATGTGGAAGAAAGAAGATTGGCAGGAAGGCAGGCTGCTTGGGGCTCTGCTTTCAACCACCACTCCACACAGGCTCCCTAAGAAGAGACTTCATGGCCCCATTATTAGAGTGGGCATCTAGTAATCGTTTTTGTCTGCAAAAAGTTCATTCTTTTATAAACACAGTATAATTTTTAGCAGTCTGCTGTATTCCGAATACCAAATGCCTGGTGAAAACAAGAAAGAAAGAGGAAATGAGAACGGGCCCACGGAAGCTTCATCTCCCTCTGTTTTTCTCGGAATTCTCTCTCTTCTTTTCTATTTAATGTTATTTTGAGTTTCTAAGCACTAAACATGTTTGTGCAGCCCTCAGAAGTCTCGGGGTCTGTCAGCATCTTTCCAATCTGAGCCTTTATGCACAATGGTGCTCAGATGATCACATTCAGCAGGGAACTTGCTTGTCATGTATGTGAAAGGTGATCCCCTAAGTCAGAAAGGTTTTATTTCTGGGTGATGACACAGGTTTTTTTGTGTTTTTTTTTTTTTTTTCTGTTTGTTAGGTATGGCAGGATTTTATGTTTGCCTGTGCCCTTTATCCAACCGAGCAGGGCTTTTTGGAGTCAGTGAGGGCAGAAGTTGCTTACCAGGTATGTTGCTATTACACCATTTCAAGAAGAGAAAATGCATATGTTTAGTTTTGCCTTTGTTAATTGCCCATTTCTTTTTGTTGCTTTCTACTAAATCCTATGAAAACTTGAAGGCAGTAGTTGACTTCCTGGATGATTGTACCCAGTGTCATGACTATAATACCACCTATCTGCTGAGAACTCCCAGATTTATGCCCAGGCCCTGAGTCTGCTGAATTTCTCATTCTTGTGTCCAGCTGCCTGCCTGAACCACACAGCTGTCACTTCTCAACCCTCCTGCAGTTTTCCTCCTGAATGACAGTGCCACTCTAAATAGCTCAGGACAAAAATTTAAAGTGGTGTTTTTTTTGTTTTTTGTTTTTTGTTTTTTTTTTTTTTTTTTTTTTTTTTTTGAGACAGGGTCTCCTTGTAGCCCCAGCCCCAGCTGCCTGGAACTTGCTATGTAGGCCAGACTGGTCTTGAACTCACAGAGATCTGCCTGCCTCTGCCTCCCAAGTGCTGGTATTAAAGGCATGTGCCACCACGCCCAACTAAGTGATTATTTATTTTAAAAACTATTATTTGTTTTTTTTTAAAATTGATGTGTATGAGTGTTATGCCTGCATGTGTGTAAGTGCACCTGTGTTGTGCAGTGCCCTTGGAGGATAGAAGAGGGTGTTGGATCCCCTGGAACTGGAGTTACAGACAGTTGTTAGCTGCCATGTGGGTGCTGGAGTTTGAGCCCAGGTCTTCTGTAAGAACAGCCAGTGTTCTTAACCACTGAGCCATCTCTCCAGTCCTCATTTCATTTATTTTATGTGTATGAGTATTATACCTGCATGTACATAAGTGCACCTGTGTTGTGCAGCTCCCATGGAGGACAGAGGAGGGATTAGGATCCCCTGTAACTGGAGTTACAGACAGTTGTTAGCCACCGTGCAGGTGCTGGGATTTGAACCCCAGTCCTCTGTAAGAGCGACCAATGCTCTTAACCACTGAGCCATCTCTCCAGCCCCCTAAATTCTTGAATTCATGATTTGTTTTGCATTCCACATAGTCACACCTATACTTATATAAAAATCCAAGAAAATAATAACATGTTATCTCTATCTACTTGAAAAGGCTTGGAAACATGGCCAACTTAGTAGTATCACACATCCTTACACTGGTATGTCTCATGTTAAGAGAAAGACTTCTGCCAACTGTGGTGGCATAGTCCTGTGGTCTCCACTACTTTGCACCTGAGCCCAGGAGTTGAAGTCCAGCATGGGCAACATAGGGAGACCACCTTCCCCATGAAAAACCAAACGAAACCTAACTAAACAAGTTCAGAGAGAGAGAGAGACAGAGACAGAGACAGAGACAGAGAGACAGAGAGAACACAAAGGGTGAGCACTCCAGATCGTGGACAAAAATGAAATGACCATTTAACCAACAGATCCACATGCTGAATACTGTTTTTGCAAAAAGCTCATTTAGGGAGTGATTATGTTTTGAAACACAGCTTGTATTACCTGCATCTCTCCTAGGTCTTGAGTGCATGGCTTGAGTTTCTATATAGAATCAGCATTCTTGGCAGTACAAGAAACTTCTGAATCATAATATACTCCCAAAGTACAGCTTAGGGATTAGCATCTGAGTATGTCAGATGCTAGCAAAATTTTACTGAAACATTCATTGGAGTGATATACTGTTACCATTAGAAATGATCAGAGGAGAGCTACTACAGTCTCAGCACTTGGGAGGTGGAGGCAGGAATATCATAAGTTCAAGGGCTACTTTGTCTCCAAACTAAAAAACAAAACAAAACAAAAAGAACCAACCACTAAACCAGATCATTGGTTTCTGGAGTCTGCAAGATTATATTATGCAGGCATCCTGAGCAGATTTTATAACTCTACAGGATGTGAAAGGAGGAAGCGAATTTATTTCCTCACTAATGTCAGGTGAAGCTTAAAAAAGAGAAATAAAAACAGGGGGACTGAGTAGCTGGGGAGCGGAGGGGGATCAGTGGGACTATGAGGGGGACGAGAGAGTAATAGGGGTGAATATGATCAAAACACATTATGTACAGGTATGAAAATGTCATAATGAAACATGATGTGTAAGTGGCGCTCATCTTCCTGGGCACATACAGATGCAAACAGACGAAATTCTGTACTCTTTACAAGGCTAGTTTGGAAAACGCAAGACTTTTTTTAAAGAATGAAACAAAACTCCTCAGTCGCCTCTTTGCAGCCTCTTGCAGACTCAGCCATTACAGGGCAAGAGAAGCTGTGACTGTCGGTGAGGTAATAGTGGAAACACACCTTCCAGAAGAGTTTCTCCTGATCACTGACTCACTCTGTGATTCTCAGAAACATTCAATTGCATGTCTCTGCTTGGACACATGTCCCAACACGTCAGAAGACAGGGGCATGCCCAAGTTGTTGCCCGTGCACAGCAGAACTGGATCCTTTTGCCCTTCCGTAGTTCCTGTAGGCCTGTGTCTCCAGGCTGGCAGAATTTTCAGCTAGAATGTCTACCTTCCTCTTCTTTGTTTAGATTAGTCGGTAACTAACCCACAGCAGATTCATCAGCTGTGACACAGCTGTTTTGAGACACCCTTTTTAAAAAATGATTTATTTAAAATATTGTATTATTATTTTACTTTATGTGTATGAATGTGTTGCCCACATGTATGTAAGTGCACCCATGTCATGCAATGCCCTCAGAGGTCAGAAGAGGACGTTGGCAGATCCCCTGGAACTGGAGTTAATGGATGTTGTTAGCCACCATGCAGGTGCTGGGAATCCGGTCCTCTACAAGAGCAGCCAGTGCTCCTAACTGCTGAGCCATTTCTCCAGACCCAGAGGTACCCTCTTACCCTCTTGGTTTTTTTTTGGGGGGGGGCGTCTTTTTGAGACAGGGTCTCCCTGTAGCACCAGCTGGCCTGGAACTTGCTATATAGACCAGGCTGGCCTTGATCTCACAGAGGTCCGCCTGCCTCTGCCTCCCAAGTGCTGGGATTAAAGGCCTGTGCCAGCACACCCAGCTCTTCATAACTGTTTTAATCTGCTCTCCTTTGGGATATTCCACATTGTGACCTTTTCTTCCAGGATACTTCTAGTGCTACTACTTGCTTTGTAAAATTTTTTATGGTTCTCTGGGTTTTGTTTTTTGTCTTTAAACTTTAAAAAGTAGTTTATTTTGGGCAGAGGCTGGGCTCAGTTGGTAAAGTTCTTGCATGCATGAATCCCTGGCTTTAATCCCCAGCACTATGTAAGCCCAGGCATGTTGACGCTCACTTGTAATCCCGGCACTCCAGAGATGGACACAGGAGGATACAGAAGTTTAAGGTCATTCTCATCTACATAGTGAGTTCAAGGTCAGCATAAGACTCTGTCTCAAAAAACAGAATAAAACAGAACAAAACAAGCAAAAACAGTAAATAAAAGTAGCTTCTTTCCGCCCCTCCTTTCCTTTCCCTTTCTTTAGATTTTATTTCTGAGGCAGGATCTTACTAGCTAGCCCCAGCTGGCCTAGAACTCTCTATGTAGACCAGACTGGCCTTGAATTAACAGAACCCACCTGCCTCTACCTCCCGAGTGCTGGGATCAAAGGCATTTGACATCATGCTTATTCTTTCTTTTGAATTAATTTATTATTACTGTGTGCCCATGGTGAGTTTGTGTGTGTGTGTGTGCGCGTGTGTGTGCGCACGCACGCATGTGTGTATGACATGGTGTGTATGTGGAGATCAAAGGACAATTTTGAGAAGTTGGTTTTCTCTTCCACCTTTATGTGGGTTCTGGGGATGGAACTCAGGTCGCTAGAATCATGTAGCAATTGCCTGTACCCACTGAGGCATCTCACAAACCCTCTGTCTAATTCTTTCTCAGAAGAAATTTTTTCTTCAGTTTTTAATACTGTAGAACCTGTCTTATCAATGCATACCAATTTAGATAAAAAGAATCTCAGAAGCTAGGTATGGTGGCACATACCTTTAATCTCATCACTCCAGAGGCAGAGGCAGGCAGATCTCTTGAGCTTGAGGTCAGCCTGGTTTACATAGGAAATTCCAGGCCAGCTAGGGCTATAAGGAAACCCTGTCTCAAAAAGAACAATAATAAAAAAATAAAACCTCAGAGAATTCTTGTGTGTGCGTGCGTGTGTGTGTGTGTGTGTGTGTGTGTGTGTGTGTGTGTATGTGTGTGTGTCTGTGTGTGTGTCTTTGTGTGTGTGTATGTGTGTATGTGTACACGTTTGTGCATGTGGAGGTCAGAATTCAACATTGGGTGTCATTCCCCAGGAGCTGTCCACATTGTTCTTTGAGACAGTCTCTCACAGGGACCTGGGGCTCATGGATTAGGCTAGGCTAGGCTGGCTAGGATGGCTAGGCAGTGAGCCCTGGAACCCTCCTGTTTCTCCCCAGCACTGGAATGGTGTGTGCCCCACCTTGCCCAGTTTTTATACGTGGGTGTGGAGGTCAGACTCAGGGCCTCACGCTGGCTCAACAAGGACTTTAATCACCAAGCTGTCTCCCCAGTCTCTCAGAGAATTAGTGAAAGCATTGCCATAGCTAACATGATTAGGTATTTTGTGAGTTTTCTGGCAGGTAATAATTTGTGTTTGGCAATGCAGTTGTTGTAATTTTATTAGAGTCCTGAGTTCTTTTATGTCAAATATTGGAGAATTATTTTATAAGTATTGGAGAATTATTTTGTTTTCTGAAATTTCAGATCAGGAGACTGAAATCTCATCCCTCAATCATCATTTGGAGCGGCAACAATGAGAACGAAGCGGCTCTGGGGACAAACTGGTTTCACATACATTCCAGGGACTTGAAAATCTACACGGAAGACTACGTGACCCTGTATGTGAGGAACATCAGGGAAGTGGTCTTCTCGGTAAGTAACGGTTTTCAGCGCTGTAGATTCAAGAGTGCACTTTTTAAATGCACAAGTCTGAATACTGTTGTAATATATTTGTGCCTCCTTTAAGGGCATAAAATATTAAAAACATTTCAAAAACATTTAAATTCCGAATATTTCATTGTAATGCTGTAGCATATGAAAGGATCCACGGGTTGTATGTGGACTTCTTGGCAGAGAAGTTTTCTTCAGACCTCTCCACGTGCACCTGGTACTGTGCTCATATTGCAGGTTGTCACACACTCTCTGGAGTTCTTGCACAGATCTTCAGATGTTTATAGAGTCTGTAGGTTAGACAGTCACTACTATGCCACCTCCACAGCTCTGTAGTTGTACATGCTAATGTAGACTGTGGTGTGTATCATATATGAACGTGCTGGTATGTATTTAAGGGTCACAGAGAGAAGGCCCTTCTTTCATGGTGGCTCTTTCTTTTTGTGTCACTGGTGGTGTAGTAAGTATACTGAACAACATAATATAAATTGGTCTTTTTTATGGTGAGGCTTTCTAAAGATTGTTTTAAAAAGCTCTAATGTTGTGGCTGGACAGATGGCTGAGCAGTTAAGAGTGTCTGCTCTTATAGAGGACCCAGGTTCAATTCCCAGCATCCACATAGAGGCTAACTCCAGTTCCAGGGGATCCAACTCCCTCTTCCCTCCTCCACGGGCATTGCACGACACAGGTACACTTACATACATGCAAGCAATACGCTCATACACATAAAATAAATAATAAATAAAATGCTTAAAAGGCTGTAATGTTTATTGAGTGATTTAGTAATCTGGTTATCTTTATAATTTTGTATTTGATAATTAAATATTTGGTATATCTGGATATTTTTGAAACAATTTGAAAAGGGATATATATATATATTTTTTTTCAAATTTTTTGGTCTTTTTGAGGCAGGGTATCCCTGTAGCCCCAGCTGTCCTGGAACTTGCTATGTAGACCAGAGTGGCCTTGAACTCATAGACGTCCGCCTGCCTCTGCCTCTGGAGTGCCGGGATTAAAGGAATGTGCCCCCACATCTGGCTAAAAAGGGATATATTTTTTTAAAACAGTATGTGATAGGTAGCACCTAAATATGCCTAATCAGCAATATTTATTTATTTATTTATTTATTTATTTACTTATTACTTACTTATTGAGGCCAAGGCTGGTCCCAAACTTGTGATCTTCCTGCCTTAAGCTCCTGAAGGCTGGAACTTCAGGTCATAACCAATACACCTGGCTTAGTATTCCATTTATGAAGAAACTTTAGTGATAAGTTATAAAAAACAAGTTCAAGACTGGATGTGATGGTGTATACCTATAATTACAGCATTTAGAAGCAGGTGAATCTCTGTGAGTCTGAGGCCAGCCTGGTCTATATAGCAAGTTCTAGGTATGTGAGGGCTTCACAGTAAGACCTTGTCTCAAAAAAGTAGTTCAAATTTATGGCACTGGATATACTAAGTCTTAAAAAGAAATTTTCTATTTACAAAATGTGATGGTCTGTGCTTTAATTGGTATTTATAAATAATTTATCATCTTTTGCTCATTGTATTGTTTTTCATATCTGATGATGTCAGAAATGGATTTTAATGTTGAAGGATTTTCATTTCATAGTGTAGTGATTAAGTAAGTGCTCATGATTCAAAATCCTGGATGGACCACTTACTATCTATGTAATCTTGGACAATTTGCCTAATTTCTACTTTCCCATATATAAAATTGAGTTAGAAAGAGGGACTCTAGGAGCTGTTATATGAATTAGGCAGGCAACAGGTAGACGGTATCCAGACTCTGGCACATAATAACCTTTTAAAATCTTTTATAAGTATATTTGTTTATTTGTGTGTGTGTGTGTGTGTGTGTGAGAGAGAGAGAGAGAGAGAGAGAGAGAGAGAGAGAGAGAGAGAGAGAGAATGGGTATATGTGTGGAGGTCAGAGGTAATTTTACTACTACATTCTTGAAACTTAAAAAAATTGTTTATTATTTTTATTTTATGTGTATGAGTGCATTGCCTGCATGTATGTAAGTGTACCTGTGTCATGCAATGCCTGAGGAAGTCAGAAGAGGGTGCCCTGGAACTGGAGTTACTGATGGTTGTTAACTGCCATGTGGATGCTTGGAACTGAACCCAGGTCTTCTACAAGAACAGCCAGTGCTCTTAACCACTGAGCCATCTCTCCAAACCCATTCTTGAAACTTTAAAAAATGAGCTTCTATGTGTCACTTTTCCATCTTTGAAATGGAAATGTGATGTATTTTCTGTAAGGGCTAATTTATTTTAGAATGAACTATGAGTCATAATTGATGTTTGTATGTTTCTTTGAAGATGGACAGTCTTCAATGCTACATAATAATTACTATTGTTTCTATCAAGGTGTAAAGCATTTAAAGAAAATACCATGAATCAATCCATTCAGTGATTGTTATGATTAGTTCCTGTTGTTGTTATGATCATCCCGTGGTTCATCTAAATAAGCATTTGAGATAGTGACCTAAAATGAAGTCATCTGTGAGATTTCAAGAATATATGATTTGTAAAGGAAACTACATGTGATGCACATGAGGAATGGATGGTTTAGCTGGTGTGGTGGCACATGCCTTTAATCCCAGCACTTGGAAGACAAAGGCAGGCAGAGCTCTGTGAAACTGAGGACACCTGGTCTACATAGTGAATTCCAGATCAGCTGGAGAGAGAGAGAGAGAGAGAGAGAGAGAGAGAGAGAGAGAGAGAGAGAGAGAGAGAGAGAGAATGAATGGCTTTAGGGATTGGAAAGAGATGGCCCAGTGGTTAAGGGCACCGGTTGCTCTTGCAGAGGACCCAGGTCTGGTTCCTAGCACCCACATATTGGCTAACAACTATCTTTAACTCCAGTTTCAGGGGGTCTAATGCCCTCTTCTGGCCTCTGTACACACGTGCTACACCTACACACATGCAGGCAAAGCCCTCATACTTATAAAATAAAGACAAATTTAAAGTTTTTTTTTTTTTAAAAAAAAGAATGGATGGTTTTAAGTAGGGGCTTATTTGTAATTTTACTGGAAGGCTCAGTTTACCAAATCACTCAAGAAGCTGGAGAAATGGGAAGAAATGGATCTAGTTTAAGCAATCAAAGCTAATTGATTGATCTTTTCTTCAGTTTTACTTTAAAGTCATTATAAACAGAAATTTTTTTAAATTCAAGATTACTTTAATTATAATCTCACCATACCTTGTAATATTTTAAAATTCAATTGACATCTACCAAGTACCTATTACTAGATAGTATGCTGTTAGGATATTTTATTACCGCAGAACTTAGTCTGCTGTGAGAGGAAAACGTGGCAAAAGAATGACCAGTTCTATAAGGGAGACTAGATGAAGTGCTGTAAAACTGAAGGAACCTGGGAAGGTTTTCAAGTTAACGGTGACATCCAAGCTGTCAGTCCAACTTTGAGTAGTTGTGACCAAAACACTTGTGAGAACAACTTACTGGAGGAAAGGTATGGTTCGGCTCTCAGTTTCAGAACGTTCAGCCTATGGTCACTTGGCCTCATGGGCTTGGACCAAGCCTCAGGCAGTGAGCTGTCTGGTGGAAGAGGCTCTTCATCTCATGGTGGACAGCACTCAGTGAAGAGAGAGGGGCCAGGGAACAGGTATCACTCCCTATGGTGTGTCCTAAATGACCTGCATCCTTCAGTGAGGCTCCATTTCCTAAAGTTTCTAGAACCTCCCAAAGTAGCGTTTCTAATTGGGGACCAAACATTAAATACATGAATCAATAGGAGACATATCACATTCAAATCATAACAAAGGTGGAGTAGCATTTTGAGGCAAAGGGTTGTCTAGGAGGTATGTTAGATCATCATCTGGCGGCTAGCAAGCCACAGAGATCCTCCTGTCTCCACCCTTGACACAGTTGGGCATGCCAACATGCAGGTCCATGCCCCAAAATTCACCATTTCTTCTCTGTCTGTTCTTACTGTTTACTGTACTTCAGGAAAATGGCATTATTATTTTCTTCATTTTCCAGGTAAGACTATTAAGGTTTAGATCTGTTCAATAACAGTAAATTTCTGGCTTGGGATTTTGTTTTTTTTTGGTCTTTTTGAGACAACTATAGCCCCAGTTGGCCTGGAACCCACTATGTAGACCAGGCTGGCCTTGATCTCACAGAGATCTGCCTGCATCTGCCTCCCAAATGCTGGGATTAAAGGTGTGCACCACCACACCTGGCATTTTCATTTGGGATTCTAACTCAGGTACATCTGACACAATAGCTTCTATTCTTTACCTGGGTTTCTCAAGTGCAGTGATTTTTTTGTCTCTAGGGAACTATGTCCTGGCTGTTGGTACTTTTTAGGTGAGAGGACTAGTGGTATGGTATGTAGCAGGTGTACACTAGAGATTTTGCCTCTAGTCTTAATGGTACAAGACTCCCATCTCTCATATCGACCTCTACCTTATCCAGCCCCAAAGGTCCATAGTACCAGATTGAGAAGCTGCAGGAGAGGATACACTGCTTGTAGGGTTGAGAGACAAGGCAAAACACTACAAAAATGGGCCACAGGGCAGTGCAGGCTGGGAGAGGTGGTGGTTCTACCAAGGTGGCATTTCTGGGATTTGATGGTATTTTTTCAAGAAGTTAATCATCTGTACTTTACTGAATGAAAATATCCTTAAAATCTTTTTATTTTTGTGCTCAGGGAGACAAGAGTCGGCCTTTTATTACGTCCAGCCCTACAAATGGAGCTGAAACCATTGCAGAAGACTGGATCTCTATAAACCCTTACAGCAACAACTATGGTGATGTCCATTTTTATGACTATTTAAGTGATTGCTGGAATTGGAAAATTTTTCCAAAAGCCCGATTTGTGTCTGAATATGGATATCAGTCCTGGCCTTCCTTTAGTACACTAGAAAAGGTGAGTCCTGGTTGTTTGGTTTTCCAGTGATTAAGAATGGTCCACAGTGGGTTCCAAAAGTCAAGATATCTACTTTTTAATTAAATGGAAGTTTAGAAAGAAGAAGGAAGAAAAGCAGTAGTGGTAGTTTGAATGAGAATGTCCCCCATAGGCTCCAGGTATTTGGACACTTGGTCCCCAGTTTTTGGTGTTTTTGTGGATGGTTGTGGAACCTTTAAGAGGTGTGGCCATGCTAGAGGAAGCACCCCACCAGGGCAGGCTTTGATAGTGTATAGCCATGCCCACCTCTAGGCTGGACTCTGTTTCCTGTGCCTGTTTGACGATGTGGGCTCTCAGCTTTCTGCTTTGGCTTCTCCCTGTTGTGCCTCCCCACCATGATGAGCTCTTACCATCTGGAACCATAGGCCAAATAAACTCTTCTTTCTGTAACTTGGTCATGGCATTTTATCACAGCAACAGAAAAGTAACTAACAGAGAACTCTTGGGGAGTTAAAATCATAATCACCATTTTGGGTTGATAATTTTCCCATGTTTTCAATTATGTTCCTTCAGCAGCATTTAAAAGTTAGGTGGGAGCCACTGCTGATTTTCCATTCATGGCACATGAAAATAAATGTAGTTGAAGTTTTAAAAATATGTATATTTGTTTTGTTTGTGTGTGTGGACGAACCATGGCACTCACGTAGAAGCCAGAGGGCAACTTGTGGGAGTCAGTTCTCTCCTTGTGGGTTCTGGGGATTGAACCAGACGTGGTGGCAGTCACCTTTATCAGGTGGCCTCTGTTGATGGCCCTGTACTTGGTACTTTCTATATAGCCCAATCATTTATAGACACTCAGAACTAGATACTGAGCTATGTTAAAAGAGGTGAGTGTGCTGAATAATTCTTCGTCTACTGTTACTGAGTTTTATTTTTCTCTCTCCTTTCTCCTCCCTCATATCTTCCTAACATTTCTCCCACTCCTTTTTCTTTATGTTGGTATACTGGGTTTTTTTGTATGGATATCCACTGTATACCTAAAGATTTAATTTCAGAGTTGTGTGTGCCTTTTATCAACACCTTTATTGATGCAATTCTCATAGTAAAGCATTTGTTTATTTAATGTGTACAACTCAGTAGTCGTCACAGACTTATACAGTTACCACCACAGTCTAGTTTTAGAACATTAACATCACTTAGTCGAAACTCTGATCCCAGCAGCGGCCACTCTCTAATCTCCAATGACCCTCCTCCTCCAGTACTAGACACCACTGCTCTGTGTCTGTCTCCATAGGCTTCCCCATTCTTCACAATTCATATAGTTAGAAGAAGGCATTCTGTGTGGTCGGTCCTTTGAGACTGGCTTAACAGCATATTCTGTCAGAAGTTCCTTACTTCTTATTGCTGATTGTATTCCGTTGAGTGGATTTCCCATATTTTGTTAATCCATTCACCTGTTGATGGACAGTTGTGTTATCTCCACCTCTTGGTTAGCATGAATAAAACTGCTGTGAACATTAGTGTGGCTGTTTTGGCGTGAACACATTTTCAATTCTGCTGGGTGTATACCCAGGAGGGGGCTGCTAGGTCATGGGTAACTGTTTTGCGCCATTTTGCCTTCCTCCCAGCCTTTCCTGCATGCTTGCTCTCATTTGTTAATTTCCATTTTTTAATATTTCCCTCGAAATACATTTTTAGAGAAAATTTGCATTCTTTGATGGCTGATTATTCTGAGTATCTTTGCATGTGCTTATTGGCCATTTGTGTATCTTCTTTTGAGGAATGTATATACAAATCCTTTGCTCAATTTGACTTGTTTAGTTACTTTTGAAGCCAGGTTTTTGCTAAGCTGCCCATGCTGACTTGAAATTCACTCTGTATTCCAGGCAAACCTCAAACAATTGGAATATGAACAAGTCCTAAAACAATTTACTATTATAATTATATTACTTTATATTTAAGAACTATGGGGGCCAAGTGTGGTGGTACACTCTTTAATCCCAGCATTTGGGAGGCACAGGCAGGTGACTTTCTGTGAGATTGAGGCCAGCCTGATCTACATATCAAGTTCCAGACCAGCTAGGGCTGTAGGGAGACTCTGTATATATATCTCACAAACAAAAAAGCCAAAACTACCTGGAAGATGATATTTACCCAAAGAAATGAAAAAGTATTGCAAGACACAAATAATGAAGCTGGGCATGGTACCACCTGCTTGTAATCCAAGCACTCAAAAGACAGGACAGAAGTCCAACAGTCCTAATACTCTAGAGGTAAGTGCAAGTTATCTGAGGCTGACTCAGGAAATCAAACAACAACAGCAGCAGCAGTAAAAAAAAATACAAGTAATTTTAAATAACATAAGTATGTCTTCATAAGGGAAGACTTTTAAGAGAAATACTAAAATGCAACTTTCTAGGGGTGTGAAGATGGGAGATCACTATTACCAAATTCTGCTTTTGTGATTCCTTCTTGCACAAGGCTAGTCTTTCACCAATAACAAGGAGAATGATAAACATTTTATGAAATTAGTGCCACAGAACACATCTTAAATACCTTTCCAATGTGTAGAGTACTTTCCAGGTTTACCCAGAATGTATGAGAAAAGTAATTTGTTTTTTTTTTTAAATACTGGGGGTATTTATTTATTTATTTATTTAATGTGTATGAGTATTTTGCCTGCATGTAAACAAGTGTACCCATGCATGCAATGCCCAAGAAAACCATTGGAAGAGGGCGTCAGATCCCCTGGAACTGTAGGGTGCTGGGAATCCAACCTGGGTCCTTTGCAAGAGCAGCCAGTGCTCTTTACTGATGATCCATCTCTCCAGCCCCAGAAAAGTAAGTTTTACTTTTTAAAAACTTTTTACTGCTAAAATCTCTAACTCTTAACTCTTCATTCAAAAGATCTCATCTGCGGAGGACTGGTCTTATACCAGCGAGTTCTCCCTTCATCGACAGCACCATGAAAATGGGAACACGGAGATGCTTCACCAGGCCAAACTTCACTTCACACTCCCCCAAAGCACAGGCTCATTGCAGGCATTTAAAGACACCATCTACCTTACTCAGGTGAGTCATTTTCATTGTGGAGTTGAACAGGTTTCTACACTTAACATAAGAGATCATGCAAATTGTGTAGGCTTTATATGGGGGCAACTGTTCAGGTTTTCATTCTATTGATTAAGGAATTTATGGTCTTCATGATGCAGATATGACAACCCATAAGACCTGTATCTAATTTTTGGTCTTTGTTTCTTTTACAAGAACAGCTTATGAAATTTGAAAACAAATTGTGTATTAAAATGTTTGATAATTCAAGCTTAGCATAAAGGTTTGGTAATTAAGGCAGTCCATTTCTTCTGGAAGGCCCAGAAACAGACTTGTGTGTAATAGTTACCTGACTTCTGGCTGTGACACCACAGCCCTGCAATTCAGAGGGAAAAGGATAAAGTATCAAGAAAGCATGCAATATCAAGTGGATATGGTAAGAAAATAGAAAGCAGAAAGGAGACAGATAAGAAAAACGAGCAGCAAGCAGATTTATTAGAGAATAAGCCTGAGAGGGCACCTCCCCAAACACACACACCCTCCTCAAGGGAGGCACCTCCTCACAGCAGCCCAGGGTCTGGAGGAGAGCATACCCTCCCTTACAGACTAAGGGTTTGAATGTTTTCCTCCCTTTGGGGAGGAGAAAGTGTTTGGGGCTGAGGGTGTATCATCTCAGGCAGGTGCAAGGTGAGTTTCCTCATTATGAGGAGGCTCAATCATGAAGACTGGTCCAGGGAGTTCCCTGTGATTGAGATTGAGTCATTATCAAAGGAGCCAGTAAGGGGAGCATTGCTGCTTTCCCGGAAGGTAACCAGAGGGTGGTGACCATGGGAGAAGCATTCAGGATCTAATATTTCTCCATCAGATACATTTATGGGACAATGAAGGTACTCGGTGTATAAAAATTAATGTTATTACTTACCCAAGATTAAAATGTGGGGGTTGGAAATAGATCCAAGCTTACACTGCGGTGCTTGTTATTACACCAACATCATAATCACCTGAACAAATAGACTGAGTCATTAAGTTTATCAGAGTGGGCTAGAAGTCAGAGGACCACCCAGCCTTTTCATCCTAGTATCTCATTTATACACGGTCACCCATCCTTCCCCAAACTCTACTGTCTCCTACGGAGATGAATTGATTTTCAATCATATTCACGTTCATTCATTATCTTTTTGGGTGGAGTACCAAACTGAAATTGCCAAGGAGATACACCCAAGAGTGCATGGTTTTGCTGGGGTTAATTAAAAGTCATTAGTCTAGATTATGTCCATTAGTAAAAGTCATTCCTACAACATGCCCCAGGCCTTGGGTTTGATCCCTGAGACAAAGAAACAAAACGACCTCAAATGTGAAAAGGTACCACAATAAACCTCCCTGGAGAAAACATAAGATAGTATCTCATGACATTGAGATAGACAAAGAGTTCTGAAAACACTAACTATAAAAGTACGTATTGATAAATTGTATCTCACTAAAATTATGGGCTTTTGACTATCGAGCACACCACTAAGAAAGCTAAAAAGGCAAGCTACACAGAGGCTGACCAACAGAGGCAATTCATACATGTGAGTGTGTGTGTGTGTGTGTGTGTGTGTGTATTTAGCCTAGGTCTCCTATCATGTCTTATCGTGCTTACCAAATAAATCAAGAGTCATCCACGCCTGGATTTACAGGTCAACTGTACTTTCCCCTGAGTTCTGCTATGAGAGTTACCTGCAGCACAGGGAGATAAAATGTGCTCTTAAAGAATCAGTTTTTCAACATACCCTTGCTATCATCAGCTGCTCAGCAATATGCGAAGAACAAATGAGAACAGTAGAGGGGGCCATAAACTAAGGGGTGGGTGAAGACTGCTTTAGCCCGTGTCCACAGAGGGGGTAGTGAGAGGACATGCTGTGGCAGGCAGGCAGCTTAGTTTAGTCAGTCAGGAGTGGTACCTGTGAGTCACAGAACAAGTGGGTGTGTCTGTGTATGTGGGGTATTTGGAATATGATGTAACCAGATAAGAAAGGAGAATGAAAGGGTATTTTGGAGTATTAGGAGAATTGAAGAGACAAAAGAATTGACTTGTGACTCTAAGATGAAGGCAAACAAGGAAAGGTCTTCATGTGAAGAAGCCGAACAGTGCTCTCAGCCAAGACTTTCCCGACAGATACCAATTTGGTCAATTAATAAAGGTCTAAAAATGTGACACACAGGCAAGCACCCTGTTCTTTAGATACTTATGAGAGACACTCAAGAAAAAGAACAGAGGGTTGAAGTGAGATGAGAGGGAATGGGTCAGAAAAAAGATGGCATTCTAACACACTGACCAAGATAGTGGTTCGAACATCAAAGTAACAAGGCAGAGTGTTTTCACTCTAACATCTCTTACCTATATTTTACTCATAAAAATCTGAAGCTCAGCTGGAGTTATGGCTCAGTAATAGAGTATTTGTCTGGCATGTGCAAAGCCTTAGTTTTAAACCCCAGCACAGGAAGAAAGGAAAGAAGGAAGGAACAGAGAGACCAGGAGGGAGGAAAGGGTGGGGAAGTGGAAGGACAGAGAAAAATATCATAATTCTGATTTATTTCATTGAGATACTATCTAATGTAGAATTAGAAAGCACCAAGATAAAATAAGAAACTAGCAAGTCCACTCTGAACCAAGGCACAATCGGACACTGGTTCAAAGTGCCCAGACAAACCTCAACACCACTGAGAACTGCCAGCAGATAGTTCCACTGCTGGCTCCAGTTTTCTTCCCATTGTCTTGACCAGTCTTTCCTATACTTAAATGTCAATATAAAAAGTGTATGTGGGAGCTGGAGAGATGGCTCAGAGGTTAAGGGCACTGACTACTGTTGCAGAGGACCTAGGTTTGATTCCCAGCACCCACATAGTGACCAACAAGTATCTGTAACTCCAGTTCCAGGGGATCTGATGCCCTCTTCTGACCTCTGTGGGTGTTACATGACATGGGTGCAGTTACACACATTCAGGCAATACACTTAAACTAGAATTAATAAATAAAATATTTAAAAAGATTATATTATCCTTTTATGTTTTACTCAACAGAATCTGTGTGAGAATTGCCATTGATGATAATATTAGTGTGCACACTTTTTTATTGAAGAGTTCCATTATGTGAGCAGATCACAATTTGGATGTAAATATTACTATTAAAGGACACTGATGCTGTTTCTAGTTTGAGGCTATAATGGATAATTCTATGATGAACAGTATTTTGCATGACTATTAGTAGACAAATGTACTTGCTTTTCTCTTTTTGGTCTTTTTGAGACAGAGTCTTCCTATAGCCCCAGCTGTCCTGGAACTCACTATGTAGACCAGGCTGGCCTTGAACTCCCAGAGATCCACCTGCCTCTGCCTCCCAAGTGCTGGGATTAAAGGCATGCACCACCACACCTGGCCATTGCTTTTCCTAAGTCTATAGTTAATTTTCAAGGAAACCAAATATTTTGCTTTGACAGAAACTGCCAGAAACTTTTCCAAAGTAGTTAAACAAATTGACAGCTTATCTAACAATTCCCTATAGTGCCAGCTGGCCGACCCCCTCACCTCAGCTGGTTGTGCCAATATTTAATTATAACCATCCTGCTGGGTATCTTGAGTGGCTTTAATTTTCAATTGCTTGGTTAAGAATGAGATTAAGAATGGTGTCATATATTTATTGACCATTTGAATGCCTTTTTTGGTGAAGTACCTATATGAGGCGATATTTTCAACAAGTGGTTCTGGAACAACTAGAGATCTACATGCAAAAAAAAGTGGATTCCTATCTCACGCCATGAGCAAAATTAAAAATGGATCAAAATCTAAATATAAGACATAAACCATAGAAGAAAATATGCACATAAATCTTTGTGACTTTTGATTAGGTAACAATTTCATAAATATCATAGCTAAAATCCAAGAAATTAAAGAAAACTTCAATTGTACATCATCAAAATCATCAAAGAACACTATCAAATAAGTGCAAAGATAGATGGGCATAGTGGCACGTGCCTGTTAACCCTAGCACTTGGAAGATTGAGGCAAGAGGCTTGCCGTAAGTTCAAGGCTAGCCTGTGCTGCAAGGTGAGACCCTATGTCAAACAAACAATAAAACAATAAAATGAGAGAAGTTAAAAGAGAATCCAGATTTCCCCCACTCCGGGATTAGGCCTGGTTTGCGCTGCTTGTGCTATAGCCAGCCTGATGACTTAGCTGGAACCCCATCTATCCCTCTGCCATCTCCACACTCACAGTCCTGGCTGTGATTGCTAACCTCACACACCACCCTAGCCTAGAATCACCCTTGTCCCTTGAATAAAAAAATCAAAAGTGGGACTCTGAAGCTTAGACCAGCTAACTATTCATACCTGATCTGAAATCAACCAAGCTACAACAACAATGAAAACAGAACCAAACTTCTACCCAACAAAGGCAGGCTAGAATTTCATATCAGGCACACAGCCAACAAAAGAAGTCCATATGCCCAGGCCACAGTGCAAAAACACAAATAATATGAAAAACAAAAATAATATGTTTCCATAAAATCTCACTAGTCCTATAGAAATGTTGTACAGTGAAAACTACTCAGAGGAACCCCAGGACTTAAAAGAACAATTATAAATGATAAAAAGTTCAAGGAGTTTAAAGAACACACAAGCTAGGTGAGAGAAATTGTTACGTGTTTACGAGCCGTAGCTGCTCTTACAGAGGACCCAAGTTTGGTTCCCAGCACCCATATGGTGGCAAATAAACTCCATAACTCTAGTTCCAGGGGATCTGACAGTCTCTTCTGGCTTCTATGGGCATTGTATGCACATGATGCACTTACATACGTGCAGGCAAGACTCTCATACACATAAATAAAAATAAATAATTAATTTTAAAAAAGAACATATGAATAAACACCTCAAAACTCAAAGAGGATAGGAATAAACTCCCGACTGATGAAATGACAAAGATGATTCAGGGTTTGAAAAGTGAATTCAGGAAAGAGATAGAAATATTGAAGAAAACTCGAG